TCCACTCAGCAGTGCCTTGGAAGAAAGGCCTGGCGATCTACTTCCATAAGGTTACAGCCATTGAAAACCCTGTAGAGCACAGTCTACTCTGAAATATGTGGGGTTGCCATGAGTCTGAACTGTCTCAACAGCAAGGAGGTTTTTTGTTTGTTTGCTTTCTACCCAGTGCCTACAAGATAAGGTCCAGACTCCTCTGCCAGATTTATAAGGTTCTTTATGATCTGACCTCTCCTCACCTTCTAGCTTCAGACTCATTGGTAATACTTCCTCCTTTTTCATTAAGCTCTACTCCATTTTCCCCACCTCAGTAAATGGCACCACCATTCACCAAGTTGCTCAGGTCAAAAATCCAGGAAGCCTCCTTTTAACCTTTTCCCTCACTCCTTCTCTCAAAATATATTCTCAGTTGGTTTGTGATGGTTCCTGTCTTGGTTCCCTAGTGCTGCTATAACAGAAATACCACAAGTGGATGGCTTTAACAAACAGGAATTTATTCTCTTACAGTTTAAGAGGCTAGAAGTCCAAATTCAGAGTGCCAGCTCTAGGGGCACTCTGTATTCAAACTTGGGCTTCAGCTCTGCCTCTTATTCCACGCCCACTGGAACTAGAGGCAGCACCTAACTCACACAGCTGCTGGCTGCTGGCTGCTGGGGCTGATGAACCCAAGGTCAGCAGGTAAAATGGCACAATCCTAAGATTGTCAGGTAACACTGCAGACCACTGGCTCAAGTCCAAGAACAATCTTAAGATCAGCAGGCAACATGGTAGGCCAAGACTCGGCCAAATGCAGGGTCCAGATGTGCCAAAATCTACAGACCTTTCTAAAAACTCCTTATATACTGGAAGCAGGCCATGCCCCAAAGGCAGCTACTTAGCTACTTACAGCATATTCCACCATGGAGGTGGTTACAAACTCATCAGGGGTAATAACTACCCAACCACTTAAAACCATGGCCCAGCCAAGTTGACACACAACCTTAGCTACCACAGTTCCCATCCTGGTACAAGTCACCATCATGGCCTTCCTGGATGACTGCCACAGTCTCCACACTGGCCTTCCAGCTTCGTCTGTTGTCTCCTGTAGCCCACTCATAACCCAGAAACCAGAATGTTTTCTTTTCTGAAATAAATTCCCCCATTTATTTTTATTACTTACTCTCTTATCAAATGAAATACTATAGGACTTAAATTTGTCTGTGTCCTCATTTTGGGAAGCCCACTTTTGGCATATAGATGAGCTAAAGCCACAACAGCAACAACAAAATTTTTTTCCCCAATTTGATCATGTCTCTCACCTGCTTTAAATCCTCCAATGGCTTCCCACTGCACCTAGAATCAGATCCAAACTGCTTACCATAGGCTTTCATGCACACCTCCCCAGTCCAACTCACCACTTTCTCCCTTGCTCTGAGCACACTGGCCTCCTGTCAAGTCCTCCAACACAACAACTGTTCCAACCTCAGGGCCTTTGTACATGGCCTACCTTTGTTTGGAATGCCATTCCTCAACTCATATGACTAGTTCCTCCCACCCACCTTTTTTTTTTTTTTTTTACCATTTTTTAAGTGAAATATTTGATGCAGACATATATAAACCCATATGTAAGTCAGGAAGGATGATAAAACAATGACCCAAGGACCAACTCCCCAACTTAGAAATAGAACATTCTCAACACCATTGAAGTATCCTGTCTTTCATGTGGAAACAGTTAGCCCAAGGGACTAGTGAATCATGTACACCTCAGCGTACGTGACCCTGAGACCAGAAGAACTAGAAGGTGCCTGGCTATCACTGCCAACCACTCAGAAAGGGATCCAAATTGGAGATCCTGGATAGAGTGGGAGAAAAATGTGGAACAAAACTCAAAATCATAAAAAAGGCAAGGTTTACTGGTCTGATAGAGCCTGATGAGTCCCCTGAGACTCTGGCCCCTAGTTATCCTTCAGGTCTAGAATTGAACTCACTCACTCCCATGGCTTCCAATCAAACAATAGATAGGCATATAGGGTGAACATTTACACCAGGTAGATATTCTCCTTAGAATAATCAGTCACGGAGAACAGAAGGGCAGTATTTGCACAGGGAGATAGGTTAGGGGGCAGGAATGCATAGGAAAGAAGGACACAGGGAAGAGGTAATTACAGAGAGGAAGTAGGAAGAGAGCTGTTACATTGCAGGGAATTGCAGTCAATGTCATGAAACAATGCATGAACTGCTGTATGGAAAATGAATTTGCTTTGTAAACTTTCACCCAAAGCACAATTTAAAAACAAAAAACAACCAATAACTCAAAATCATAAAAAAGGCCAGGCTGACTAGTCTGATAGAGACTGGTGAAACCCCTGAAACTATGGCCACTAGTCACCCTTCGAGCCTGGAACTGAACTTCCGTGGCTTCCAGTCAAACAAAAGGCCTACAAGGTAAACAATTACACAAGGTAGATATACTCCTTAGGACAATCAACCATGGGAGACCAGAAGGGCAGAATTTGCACAGGAAGATAGCTAAGAGGGCAGGACTGCAAAGGAAAGAAGGACACAGGGAAAAGGTAACCATGGGAAGGAACAGGGAAGAGAGGTGTTACATTGTGGGAGTTGCAATCAATGTCATGAAATGTGTATGAACTGCTGAATGGAAAATAAATTTTCTCTGTAAACTTTCACCCAAATCACAATAAATTAAAAAAAAAAATCATGTTGTGGTTGGGAGCTCTTGGTGGGGCAGTACCTAAGGC